TTGCAAATACATAGGGAGAATATTTCCATGCTCGGTCTTTCAAGTGAATATAGAAATTACAACAACTTGAGGCAGCTATATTTGGATGCTTCCACAGATTCATAAGAGTATTTGGTTTAAAATCATATGTATATGGACTGAAAATGTTTACAACTTTGTCTTTACCACTTTCTAGTGATGAAGATGGAGACTTCAATAATTGCTATGCTATTCTGGAGGAACTTGGTCTTAACAACGCCACTGATGCTGACTGTGCAAATGTCCGTCACGTGTGCGAGTGCGTTTCTCGGCGAGCAGCATACTTAGCAGGAGCAGGTGTTGCTCTCCTCCTTAACCGTATCAATGAAGAAAGTGTATCTGTAGCTGTGGATGGATCTGTTTACCGTTTCCACCCACACTTCCACAACCTCATGGTGGAGCAGGTATCACAGCTCATCAAGCCTGGAATTAAGGTAAAGATATCAGTACATTTTGTTATTGATATTTTGAGATCTGTTCAAAGTCTATTTTAGAAGAATGTGTTTACATGTTTTTGTTTATTAATTTCAAATAAGCAGAACATAAGATATTTTTTGTTAAAGCTTAAATAGTTCCTGGTAATTAAGGGATATGCAGACTGTAAGAAGCATTATCCATACAAGTAGGTTTTATCACTAGAGCATTTACTGATATCTGACAAATGGAAAACAAATGATGAGATCAATCTTTCTTTTCCAGTTTGACCTAATGCTGTCGGAGGACGGAAGTGGGCGTGGTGCAGCCTTGGTGGCAGCCGTAGCTTCCAGGACTTCAGCCATGAGATAGAGCGAAGGTCCCATTTCGTAAGAGCGGAACAATAAATGTGAAAGTGTCTTCATAGGAGATTTTTGTTGCACACAATGCATGTTTTTTATATAATTCTTGACTGATGGTATGAGTACTGGTTAACATTGAAGGCATACATTGTGCTAGTTTTGTGGTAAGTGGATAAGCGGAAGTGTAATGGATACGGAGAGATGCTGCCATCTTCAGTATTTACAATCAGTTAGAGAGTTTGTGGATGGAGTGCATGTTTAGACTTTTTTCTGAACATTTTAGACACACACACACACACACACACACACACACACACACACACACACACACACACACACACACACACACACACACACACAAATTATATATATATATATATATATATATATATATATATATATATATATATATATATATATATATATATAAAATGTTTGTATGTATATGTAATGTGTGTGTGTGTGGGTATGAATGAACAAATGTATGTTTAAATGTGAGACTACATAAACATTTATATATATATATATATATATATATATATATATATATATATATATATATATATATATATATATATATACACACACATATGTGTGTGTGTGTGTGTGTATGAACATGAATATGTATATTTTTATTTTTAGTATATATCAGGATTATCATTTCACACTAAAAAAAATCAATATTATATAAATGCATATATTATATATAGATAGTTTATTTAACTTGAAATGCTATTTTAAGAGTTTGGTGATTATGATATGTTGATCTCCATCTCATGTTGGTGTAAATTTTGATTGCGTAGGAAAGACGAGTTTCACAACCACCACTGAGGTAGAATTTTCTGTAAAAAAGAAAAGAAAAGAAAAAAGAAACAAATTGATCAGTTGTTCACTGGCAGCATTAATGCTTTTTCTGTGAATTCGTAAGGTGATATACAGTAGTAGAGTCCTGAGATAATTGGGATTTCTATCATACGAAAACTTTTTTTTTCTTCTTTTCTTTTTTCTTTCTTTTTTTTTCTTTTTTTTTTCTTATTGGTGTGTTTGTGGTATAATGATGCTTCTTGTTTTAATTCTGTTTAATAATTTTACATAATTACTCTTATTTCATTGATTAAACAGTAAAGAATTAGCGCAAGGGCCAGAAATGACAAAATGTTAAAACCTTTCCTGGCTTCGTCCGTGTGGCCATAGGCAAGTTTGGATGTCATATTTAGGCTCTTACAAGAAAGGCAGGTGTTATTCATTCAAGGTGTAGTTACTAAAAATTCTTGAAGAAAGCTAAGTGAATAGCACATTGGACTGATTTTTAATTAGTAACATTGGGAAAATTTCTGTAAATATGATGTGCATATTGATCAACACATAAAGTTCAACTGAAACTTTTAAAATGAATATAAATTGTTATGTGCTCAGGCATATTTATAAATGTAAATATATATATATATATATATATATATATATATATATATATATATATATATATATATATATATATATATATTTATGTATGTATGTATGTATATATAATAGATAATACCATGACAACAAAGGGAATGAAAAATACCCTTGGGTTTTTACGATACAGGAAGTACTTTTGCAATTTTTGTCCTGGATTTTTTATTACAGCATGGATATTTAAGGATTTGAATAGAAAAATTCAGTATAAATAGCATATAAAGTCAGCATAAAGATTTTAGGTCTTCAACAACAAAAAACAGGATTTTTTATTTCTCTTTTACATTATCTTTTGCATTGACATATCACAGTTAAACCTGGCCCTGGCATTTTTTACTTCAGACTTTATGAGGCATTTGTCTTCCTTGTATCATTATACTCTGAAAAGGTTATCAAGCATTTTGAGAACATTATATTTATCATGTAAATGGGGAACATCTGCCCAAGCAATTCACAAATGCTATTTTATCTTACATTTCATTGGAAGCTGTGATAGTTCTTAACATTATAGATGGAATTATAATAAAAGTGCTGCTGGTTACAAAGTACTTACACATTTGGTTTTCCTTTAGAAAAATATTTATTATTGATACAGGAAGTTTCCGTCAACAGATATATTTATGTATATTGAATATATTTTTAGAGAAACTTGTTAATTTTCACTCTGGATATTCATTCTGTTTTACCTCCAATACTTTTTTTTGAAGTTTACCCAGTAATTGCACTATACTTCCCCATATAACATGCTGTTGCTCAACGAACTGTGTACCTTGCTATGTGTAATTTTATGAATGAATCCATAGCAAGGTTTGGGGAAGCTGATATGAGGCAGGACTCTCTCCCAGGAAAATGTCTTGAGGAGAACTTCAAGGTAAAGATCAAAGAGGAATGTATGACATTCTACAAAGTATATCACATACAAATGGTCTGGATATGAGGAGTGTTATGTATAAAGAATGAGGGAAGAAGAGAAGACAAGGAGTCGGCACATGACTACCTATCCTTCTTCGTCTTGCCTCATGACTTGTGTGGACAGCTGGGAGTGTGTTGTTTCCTTTACTCTCTGTACATAGAAGATGAGGAGAATGAAAAGTTTGTGCAATGAATGGTTAAAATATTTATATTTTATATATATATATAAAAGGTGTAATATTCTTTGCTCTCAACTCATTCTGTATCCAATTGCTTTCATTTTGTTCCAGTTGAATCTCATTCTCCATTCTTATGAAAACTTAATTTTGAAATATTTCATGTTACTTGGTTGTATAGTTTAATTTATTACTGAAATTTTCTTTCAGTGATTATAAAATAAAGATGAAATGCTTGCATGTGGTCTTATTTATTTCATTGCCTATCCACATTCCTTATTTAAAAATTGCCATGAACAGGTTTTTTTCTTCTATATTAACATGAACTATAATAATCATATTTGGGGTGAGGGGTGTTGAGGTACCCTTACTGTAAGACTGCAAGACCAAAAAATACCTCTAGGTGATTGGTGTAAGAAATTCAGAGACCAGCTAAGAGCAGAAAATGAGAAGTGGAAATTTCCATTTTTTTAATCTTAATATCCTATAATTTCAAGTAATTTTCCTTCTTAGCGAACCACATAGCAATTAAAGCTTACTATTCTTTGCTAGAAAGCTCTCCTGTAAAGGCTCACACCTTTAAGCATGTATCTTTGCAGAGGGAGAGACAGACAGACATAAAATATGAAATAATTCATTGAAAAAAACAAACACTTTTGGGTAAGCATAATTATGGTATCAGCTTTACACATCTTTTATTTTAATCACGAATGATAGAAGTACATGTACATCTTCGTATTCACAAAACATATTCACAAAATAATATTATCTTCAAATAAGACATATTTATCTACAGCATGAGTTCTTCCTTTCATTTTACTCTCACTATAATTTCATAAGAAATATAAAATTGCTTATAAATGTGTACAAAAATGAAAAATGAGAAATATATCCCAATACAATAATTTATTTTACTATGCTTTATGCTGAAGTGATTCAGCATAGTAACACCATAAAGTACTATATATTAATTTTTTAACAGCATAAAAAATAGTACTGTACATGTTTACCTTATAATCAATGTCGATTCCAAAGAAAGTTGATTAAGAAAAATATAACCAGAATATTTTATTCTCCAGTCAAGGGAGCAAAAAACTGTTTATCCCTGAATGATGGGATCAGATTTATATTTCTAAGGAAACTAGACATTGGAAAGAAAGTTATACAGAAATATGTGCAGAAAAGACATTTGTTCTATAATAAAACATAGTATTCTGGGGAAAGCCTTGTGGTTACTGTGAAGTTAGGTCACTCTATTACCCAAGTTTTTTAAAATCAAATCCAATGCCAACAATATGTACTGAGAAAAGAAATTAGTCTCCTAAATAAATTGAGATCAAACTCATCACTATTAAAAGCAGGAAGAAATGTCTTTTAAATGTTTGGTTTTCAGCAGCAATTCACATTCACACCTAAAAAGTAAAAAAGGAACCATATAAAGTATGAACTTTCAATGTACTCATACACAACACACATTCCTAATATGTTCCTGAACAGTTTATGATCACAGCTGAGCATTATCAAGAAAAATGCATAATGCTAATACGAGCATTTCTTTGTCATATTATTATATCTAGTATTTCCAAAGAATTCAAGTCATAAGCCCTAAAACCCATATAGTATGATTTTCTAAATAATATAATATATTTCACATGTCAAA